TATGTAGGGTTGTGTTCACGTGAGACCAGCTGCCTATTTTCGTGAGACCACATGTTTACACTTAAATGAACCTTCACGGTGTTTTCCTGTGAAGTTTCAAGTCTAAAAATGGTCTCACATAAGAGGCGGGTCTGACATGATCTCAAGTCTCTCCTTTTATATATATTTCATCAACAGCATTTGATTTGACACTGGAGTCCACATGTTCCTCAACACAACAATCATCAGATTATTTGACAATACTCTGCAAAACAAACTAACCCACAGGATTAGCAGCAACAAGCTGCTCTCCAATAGCCTTAATGGCATCAACAAGAGCCCCAGCTTGGTTTGTGTTGGGAATACGCTGCTGCGATATCACAGTACGGAGAAGCTCTGCAGTCAGCTTGGCTGTGCCCTTTGAACCCTCAATCTTACTGCCCATCATACAATTAACACATTAAATATAGTAACAATAAACAGTAAGTCAAATAAAACAAACGAGTAATTAGCACTTACCGTCTTTTAAGCTTGTTTAAGAAATCATGAACCAGTGCATGTGTGTCCAGCATGATTACTGTCGATGTCAAACTTGCATCAAAACAAAGTACGTGAGATTCTTGCAACAAACATGATAATGAGAGAGCCAATAGATGGTTATCACTGTGTGTATCGAGTGTGAATGTGTTATATGTACCTGTAGATGGAATTAGGGATTTAGGGCAAGATGGGGAAGAAATATGTTGTTTTGGGGGGTGGGGGTTTGCGAAAAGATTTAAAGATAAATAAATTTCAACAAAATATTAAATATAATAGGGAAAAGTCCAATAAAACCCTATTAACTTTAGTGTTTTGATTGATTAAGTCCTTGAATTATTTTTTGGAACAAATAAATCATTGGACTTTTGAAAACTTGTTAAATAAATTCTTAAACTTTCTTAAACCTGTTAAATAGGTCATCATTCTTTAAAAATATAACTTGTAACCTGGGTAACAGGTAAACCAAACAAATTAAAAAAATGGAAAAGTCTAAAAAAACTCAATTAACTTTAATGTTTGGAATGATTAATTATTTGAATAATTTTTTGGAACAAATAAATCGTTGGACATTTTAAAACCTGTTAAATAACTCCTTGAACTTTCTAAAACTTGTTAGATACATCCTTATAACCTATAAAATTGGTTAATGTGGTAAAATAATGAAAAAA